GGCTCAAAAAATATAGCAAACCCGACCCAACCCGCCCGATGTGCAGCCCTAATTACCTGTATACACAAACAACTAGAAAGATCGTGTACAATTTATGTACTAATTTTTATGTACAAATGTAATTTTCCATAAAATAAAAGTCGGTATTCATCGCACGGGAATACATCAATACAGTAGTTGGGCAGAAAGGAGGATAGTAGGGTACGGATGTGTGTTCTTCATTACTGTTGACATTAGTTATATGGCGTAATAAATGTACACGTCGTTGGCCTGGAATCAGCTCATCTTGTCCCCACCGCCTATCATTCTTTGCTGAGATATGTGATTATGCTGTCCTAAACCACCTCTTCCGGGTCGTCGTCGTTGTCATCTTTTCTCTATATTCCCACCTGGTACCTTCAAAATCTCAGTTTTTGCGAGTTCATGTGTGTTGAATGGTCCCACCCTTGATTAACAGCAGCTTTGTGGGATTCTGGAATGTTACTGTGTTTAACTTTGGACTGGTGATTGTGGTTTTTGACTTTTTGGTAGTAATTGATGTTCACTTTGATTAGAAGCTTTCGTTTTTAGTGCACTAATGAATTGAGTTTGAACTTCTGGTTGTCTGTTTTTGAGATTCTCTGTAGTTCTGTTTCAGTGCAAAGTCCTTTGATTTCTATAAGTGGAGGGACAGTTTTACGGCAAGGGAAAGATTGGTTTGCTTGATTAGAATTTGGACGGGCTGTCCCCCAACTATGGGATGGTGTGGGTTCCGCTGAGAGGGGGGGCTTGGGCCCGTCTTGTTCGGGAATTCTGAAGGGTATTCAAGGGTCGTCGTCATCCTTGGCCCAACAGATATTGGAGGCTGCTGACCTAAAGGCACCCACTACCCCAAACAAGTCCTCATTTTTAACAACCCCTTGCAACATGTAATAACTGCAGCATGAGACTCTATTCTAAATCTATTTGGTCAATAAGGCTAGAAAACTATTTGGTGTACAAATTCTCCGGGCTTGTTCCTGCATGCTGGGTGTTTAAAAAACAATAAAGAAGCTTTACACCGAAAAATATATCTATTGTGTGCCCTAAGTAAATATACAGAAGATCTCTTGATGCACACACATATCTTATACTCCCATACTTCCTGTCTCTAAGCAATCTAAGTAATATATATGGTTATCATTTAGTTAATTGTACTTTTTGTTCGTGATATAAAATCTGACGTAATATTAATACTACTAACTCTACTTTGTCTAATTGTCCATTCAGAACTATTAGCACCACGGTTTTTACTTTTGATGTTTGATGCAAATATGGTGGAGATGGGAAACATTTCGGAGTATAGAGATCGTCTTGACAAGACATTGTCATGCCATGATCTTGTAGACAAGGAGGTACTTGAGCGCCTCGTTAAGAATCAATTCTTAAACTCATCAAATTTTGAAGCAGCAGGTGTGTGTGCGGGTCTCTGGTATTATACTAATCAAAGAAATTACGCATCATGCAAAGAGTAAGGAGACAAACGTATGTTTGATTTGCAGTGTTTGTAGACAAAGTGGTAGAAAGAAGAACCAATGAGTTAGCCGCAACGCTAGGAATGTTGAGAAGTGCCTCGTTAGCCGAGGGAGATGAGTCAAAGCTTTTCAATGTTTCACATGGTGGTTGGAAAGTAAGCTAAAGTTATCCATATTCACTCGACAAGAGAAAAAGTGGAAAGAAAGAGTTAGAAGAAAGAGATGTATGATAAAAGGAGTGGATTGTTATGTTAGGGTTGGTAAGGTAGAATCAAGAGAGAAAGAAAATGGAATGAAATATGTAAAAAAAGAAAAAGGGAAAGGGTGTTGGCTAAAAATTAGTAGAATGAGGTAAAAATAAAAATGTGAAACTGACTTCCATTTCTTCTCATCCAATCAAAGAAAGAAAGAGGTTGTGGACACTACATTTTCTCTCTCATGTTATTCATACGTTAAACAATAGAAAGTGTCTTTCTTTTCTCTGTTCTTTCTTCCCTACTTTAGTGTGAGTTGACTGTCATGCTGCCCCAAAGCAATGTTCTCTAGAGTGCCTATGTGAGGTTTGGGGTGGGGTTTCTTGAAGAAATTTGCCGCTTGTTCTGTAAATTCCTGATCTCCTCAAGTAGGGTCCATTTGGATGGAGGATTTCGGAGGGGAGGAATTTGGAGGGCTTAGGTTATTTATTTATTTATTTATTTATTTATTTATTTATTTATTTATTTATTTATTTATTTATTTATTTATTTATTTATTTATTTATTTATTTATTTATTTATTTATAAATAAATAAATAAATAAATAAATAAATAAATAAATAAATAAATAAATAAATAAATAAATAAATAAATAAATAAATAAATAAATAAATAAATAAATAAATAAATAAATAAATAAATAAATAAATAAATAAATAAATAAATAAATAAATAAATAAATAAATAAATAAATAAATAAATAAATAAATAAATAAATAAATAAATAAATAAATAAATAAATAAATAAATAAATAAATAAATAAATAAATAAATAAATAAATAAATAAATAAATAAATAAATAAATAAATAAATAAATAAATAAATAAATAAATAAATAAATAAATAAATAAATAAATAAATAAATAAATAAATAAATAAATAAATAAATAAATAAATAACCTAAGCCCTCCAAATTCCTCCCCTCCGAAATCCTCCATCCAAATGGACCCTACTTGAGGAGATCAGGAATTTACAGAACAAGCGGCAAATTTCTTCAAGAAACCCCACCCCAAACCTCACATAGGCACTCTAGAGAACATTGCTTTGGGGCAGCATGACAGTCAACTCACACTAAAGTAGGGAAGAAAGAACAGAGAAAAGAAAGACACTTTCTATTGTTTAACGTATGAATAACATGAGAGAGAAAATGTAGTGTCCACAACCTCTTTCTTTCTTTGATTGGATGAGAAGAAATGGAAGTCAGTTTCACATTTTTATTTTTACCTCATTCTACTAATTTTTAGCCAACACCCTTTCCCTTTTTCTTTTTTTACATATTTCATTCCATTTTCTTTCTCTCTTGATTCTACCTTACCAACCCTAACATAACAATCCACTCCTTTTATCATACATCTCTTTCTTCTAACTCTTTCTTTCCACTTTTTCTCTTGTCGAGTGAATATGGATAACTTTAGCTTACTTTCCAACCACCATGTGAAACATTGAAAAGCTTTGACTCATCTCCCTCGGCTAACGAGGCACTTCTCAACATTCCTAGCGTTGCGGCTAACTCATTGGTTCTTCTTTCTACCACTTTGTCTACAAACACTGCAAATCAAACATACGTTTGTCTCCTTACTCTTTGCATGATGCGTAATTTCTTTGATTAGTATAATACCAGAGACCCGCACACACACCTGCTGCTTCAAAATTTGATGAGTTTAAGAATTGATTCTTAACGAGGCGCTCAAGTACCTCCTTGTCTACAAGATCATGGCATGACAATGTCTTGTCAAGACGATCTCTATACTCCGAAATGTTTCCCATCTCCACCATATTTGCATCAAACATCAAAAGTAAAAACCGTGGTGCTAATAGTTCTGAATGGACAATTAGACAAAGTAGAGTTAGTAGTATTAATATTACGTCAGATTTTATATCACGAACAAAAAGTACAATTAACTAAATGATAACCATATATATTACTTAGATTGCTTAGAGACAGGAAGTATGGGAGTATAAGATATGTGTGTGCATCAAGAGATCTTCTGTATATTTACTTAGGGCACACAATAGATATATTTTTCGGTGTAAAGCTTCTTTATTGTTTTTTAAACACCCAGCATGCAGGAACAAGCCCGGAGAATTTGTACACCAAATAGTTTTCTAGCCTTATTGACCAAATAGATTTAGAATAGAGTCTCATGCTGCAGTTATTACATGTTGCAAGGGGTTGTTAAAAATGAGGACTTGTTTGGGGTAGTGGGTGCCTTTAGGTCAGCAGCCTCCAATATCTGCTGGGCCAAGGATGACGACGACCCTTGAATACCCTTCAGAATTCCCGAACAAGACGGGCCCAAGCCCCCCCTCTCAGCGGAACCCACACCATCCCATAGTTGGGGGACAGCCCGTCCAAATTCTAATCAAGCAAACCAATCTTTCCCTTGCCGTAAAACTGTCCCTCCACTTATAGAAATCAAAGGACTTTGCACTGAAACAGAACTACAGAGAATCTCAAAAACAGACAACCAGAAGTTCAAACTCAATTCATTAGTGCACTAAAAACGAAAGCTTCTAATCAAAGTGAACATCAATTACTACCAAAAAGTCAAAAACCACAATCACCAGTCCAAAGTTAAACACAGTAACATTCCAGAATCCCACAAAGCTGCTGTTAATCAAGGGTGGGACCATTCAACACACATGAACTCGCAAAAACTGAGATTTTGAAGGTACCAGGTGGGAATATAGAGAAAAGATGACAACGACGACGACCCGGAAGAGGTGGTTTAGGACAGCATAATCACATATCTCAGCAAAGAATGATAGGCGGTGGGGACAAGATGAGCTGATTCCAGGCCAACGACGTGTACATTTATTACGCCATATAACTAATGTCAACAGTAATGAAGAACACACATCCGTACCCTACTATCCTCCTTTCTGCCCAACTACTGTATTGATGTATTCCCGTGCGATGAATACCGACTTTTATTTTATGGAAAATTACATTTGTACATAAAAATTAGTACATAAATTGTACACGATCTTTCTAGTTGTTTGTGTATACAGGTAATTAGGGCTGCACATCGGGCGGGTTGGGTCGGGTTTGCTATATTTTTTGAGCCTACCCGATTTGTTCGGGTTGGCTATTAACCAACCCGCGGTACGCAAAATAAGTTGGTAAACCATGCATGAACGGGTCGGGTATTGGGGGAAAAATCACTTCGGGTTGCATCTTTCATGTGGGAAATTAATGTAACCAATTTAAAACTCGATTAACTTATTTTCAAAACACACAAACAAATACAAGTGAGGATTGATGTGGTGGGAGGCTTTGCTATGCAGAAAGTTTCTACTAACCGAAGCTACTTCCGGTTAGGTGTCCTGACTCCTGCTTACCTAGAGATAAAATCATAAAATGTAGTCACACATAGTTGTACAGTTTTACAACCTGAGCAGTTAGTCATATTGCTGCTTTGAAATTTTACAGCAGTATTGCCAACATGGATATCAAATTGGATTTTGTCCCTCCAGCATTAATCAATTTTTTTTCAAGGCAGCTCATTGGTAGTGGATTCAAGCTTTATAAGAAGGTGTGTCCCAATTTTTAACTTATCATACTGTTTTCCAAATTGATCCTGCCTAATCCTTCATAAGCCGAGGTCCCGGTCTCACACCCGCATGCTTATTCTATGCACTTATGTATATGCTACGAGCAGAATTTAGGCCTCATTCTGTCGCTATAATTGGCTTATTCTATTATGAGCAGAATGCATAGCTTTTCACATAGAGCCCTTTTGGTTGTTTACACATTAAAATTTCAAAAGAAATGTATATCACATTCCCATATTGATCTAGTTCAAACATAACTATTTGATCACATTTTTTATGTACTTAAATAATAATAAAAATCCCTGTATTTTGTAATAAATCTAATCTTAGACATAGTTCGCACATTTCATTTAAATCACATGTTGTGCCTTATGTCTGGATGGTCTATCAAGACCTCTTCAACTCATTATTATCATTACTAGTACCTATTAAATGGGTCTATTCTAAATCCCACAATTATAAGTGTAATATTTTTGTTGTGAATAATAAATAATAGCACTAGATTAGTTTATATTTAGAAAAATATAAATACAATATTTTTTTAGTTGTATCACCCGTATGAATACAATAATTTTGATTTATACTATATCTAAGTGAGACAGATAAGTATTATTTGTACTTCATAAACATTTTCATTAGGAATGGAAATGTGAAAGTAATTTTATTTTTTTACTTTTGGGTAACTTATTGAACCAAAAAGTTATTGGGGGGCATATAATACAAATTATTGGGGGACAAATTTATTCTATTTGAAATTAATTACTTGAATTCATATATATTTATTCTATTAAAGGAAAAGCTATTGGGGCACGTGCCCCACTATTAACAAAGTAGATTGCCCCCGGGCCCCGGGCAATAATCACTTTGCACATAAAATAAAAGCACATCATTTGGTTATGTTTAATTAACTCTTTTATGTTAAAATAAAAGCACATCATTTGGTTATGTTTAATTAACTCTTTTATGTTTTTTCTATGTTTTTATGTTATTTTTATCTTCTATCTTTCTTATATTCTTTTATCTTTTTATTTTTAATCTACTACCTCCGGTTTTTTTTAATCTTCACAGTTTGACTTCACACAAAATAAGGAAAGAAATTTGACTTTACTGTAGAGTACACTGTTGAGGCACTGTTTGACACTGTTTGGCACTGTAGAGACACTGTTTGGCACTGTTGAGACACTGTTTGGCACTGTTTTGATGTAGATTTCTTTGCCAAAAAAGGAAATAAGGAAGTGTGAAGTTTATTTTAGACCGTCCCAAAAAGGAAAGTGTGAAGTTTATTAAAAACCGGAGGGAGTATTTATGTTTCTATGTTATTTATACTTATCTTTATCTTGACCATTATATCTTACATTTTTTTTTTACTTTTCTTATCTACTCCTTTTGTCTCTAATATCTCCTTTTCATGTTAGCCGACCCCAAAATCTTTTGGGGAATAAGACTTGGATGTTGCTGTTGTTTGTTTGGAAAAATAAGTAATGTTCTTAGAAAAAGACTACATAGCTCTTTCTTGTGTGCAGGGGAGCATATTTTTTTTATCAACAATACACGGTGCATGGGAAGCAATGGTGTGAAAATAATAATCTTCCTTTTCTAGTTCTATTCTCAATCAACAGAAAACCCTTAAAAATTGATGCATTTAATTGACTCAAGTTCTGCAATCATCCCACAACCTCAATTTCTACACATAAAAACATCTCAAAATAAATACATGCCATTTAATTAAAAAAGAAAACCAGAAGTTTGCCTCTTGGAATGTGCAACTGGAGAATATTTTTGATGATGTGGTCGACGATTTCTTCTTGTTTATAGGAGAGGAAACTAGTTAAAGGTTGCCGCTAAGTGTTTCTTTTGCCGCTACACTCAAGTCTTCAAAATTAGGACTGAATCGTAAAAGTTTAAATCAATGTATTTAAATTGACTATATAAAGTAGTCTGCCCATGCAAATTCGACACGATTTTCACTATGGGTCACTCAGAAACAGTTTTTGTGTGCTTTAGTACAAGGGTAAGACTGCATACATCCGACCCCCCTTACCCCACCGTAGGTGGGAGCCTTTGCGGCACTGGGGTAATAATAAATGATGTAAAGTGTTTTGAAAAAGTGTCCTATAGTTTACATCAAATAATTAAAAGAAACGGTGCAAAATATATACTTCCCTGGTGCAAAATATATACTTCCCTGCAAAATATATACTTCCTTGCACTGTACATGTAAAGTGTTTACTTTACATCATACCAAATGGGCCGTTAGTTAGATGAAATAGATTTTGTTTACCGTTTTTCCATTCAGAAAAATCAGCAGATTTAACCACTTCATCCCTTGTTAAATGTTGGCCCTACTCATAAATCATCAATTTTTTACCACTAAAGCTTATCCTCATATGCAATTTTTGAAGGAAGTGGCTTCTGTTTCCATTGGTGATGAAGACTTTAGCAAGGCTTTAAAGGGTCTGCAGTACAACCGAATCCGTGAGGCTCTTTATTCAGATAGTAAATCTAATGGGGATTTTGAAGTGCAAGACCAGGACAAAAACAATGATTCACAAACAAATTAAATGTAACGAATGAACATGAAGTCCAGTGCGAGAAGATTTGTGGTGAGATCGAGGAAAATAATGAGGAAGACAATGGAGAAGCAAGGGCTGTTAATAAGTGCTATCAGAAACAAGATTCCCCTAGGAAGAATCAAATCATAGAGGAAGTCTCCATCTCTGAAATCAAGAAAGTGGGCATTAGCCCCGAGGTTCAGCAAGCCCTAGCAACATTAGAAAAGGCCATTTCTTTCATTCGTAACTCAAATACTATCAGATCTACAATACAAGCTAACATAGAAAACTCACAAGGTAGTGATGAAACAAAAGATTCAAAGTTTTCTAGAAAGGAATCCACAGAAATTACTGCTTCACCTGAACATAGGATCAACTCCGGCAATCATATTTCCAGGTAGTCAAGTTTATTCAACAGCTTTGTTTTCTTGGAATATCTTAGGATGCATTACAAGTTTTTCACTCCCTTGGCTACAAAATTGCCCATTAGCCTAAGGATTTTTTTCACAAATTATACCTTGGTATTTTCTTACAATGTGTATGCTAAGTACATTCCAATACCTGGCATCGTTTTATGTTAAAAAATCTATAGCTTCTTCTTGTTCACAATTGGTCGGGCCGGCTCTTGTCATTTTTTCTGCTTTCTTCTTCTTTGTTCTTCAATTCTCTTCCTCTTCTCAATCAAAATACTTATCATTCAATCACGTTTTTGCTCTTCTTTGTCTTCAAGTTAAATTACGAATAATCTAGGTTTTCTTCTTCTTTATCATTTCATAACTAAGTTTTATCAATCTAAAAAAAAAAAACTTGAAGTTTTATTGGCAAGTTTGCAACTCTTCTGTGAGCTCTACTTTATATTTTTTTTAGTTCATGTGATTTATATTTTAAATTCAATAAAGTTCTTCATGTTCCATAAGTTACATAAAACAATTACAGTTTTATTTTTCATACGTAATTTACACTAAACATATAACTTTTGTATAATATACAAAAGAAAGATTATACTTACATATTTTTAACACTTTTTTTACATTATTTTGTATAATCATTTACACTAAAAATATGATTTTGGTATCAACAAGCAGTATAATGTTTAAACAAAAATGTATCCGATTTTCATATTTGACACACGGTTACATTTTGTATAGTCATTTACATCAATCACTTAAATTTTGATATATAATATAAAATTTACAAGTTAATTACATATTTAAAACATTCAGAATATAATTTGTCACATTTTCACTAAATATACACTATTTATAATAATATCTCTCACACATTGTTTCACATTGTTTATACATATTTACATCTTGTATAATGACATTTACATACAATATAGAGCATGAGTTACACAAAGGATGACATGAATTACATCAAACATTGTTATACTATGATACTCTGTATTACACAAAATTTACTCACATTTACATCATTTCTAGTGCAAGGGAGTACACATGGATTTTTTTGGATGAAAAATGCTCTTTGTACACGGTAGTTTGTACACACCATTGTACACGCCAGTCAAATTGTATGCGCAAAGACAATTTGATCGGCGTTTTATGAAGACAAAATCGGTTAAACTGTCATTGTCAGAGACAATGAAGCACTTCTTTTGTACACAAAAACAATTTAACCGGCGTGTACAAAAGAAGTGCTTCATTGTCTGTGACACAGACAGTTTGACCGATTTTGTCTGTGTGAAAATCGGTTTTCTTTATAAAACGCTGGTCTGTGCATTAACAATTTGACCGGCATGTACAATGCCGTGTACACAAAGCAGGACTGTTTTTGGATTCCCGAAAGTGTTAGGAATAGGGAATAAGGTACTGCGGTACTTGCTGTGACAGTTTTAATCATACTTTTATTTTAAGTTTTCTTTAGTAATATTCTTGGAGAGATTTCCACAAATAGGATGATAACATGCTTATTTTTCAAAAATATGACTTAATGTTTAAAAGTCCATAAATAAGACTTATTATTTGCTATTGGACAAAAATACCCTTATCGCTGCCGGTGTTCTGCTGCGACGTAGACTGCCCTGGTTGTGTTAGAGGACTAGGAGACAATTAATTATATTAATTAATTACGGAGTATATATTAAGGGCAGAAATGTAATGTTAAGTCCTATTTGAAAAAACAAAACATGTGGTCATATTTTTGGAATGACTAGTCTTATGTAGAGCAATTTTATCAGTGGAACTATAATAAAAAACATGATTATGAACAGTTCTCTAAAATAAATCTATTTGAGATTTACATCTTTTATGTTCCCCACGCTTTAATTCTCCTTTGCTTTTCTTTCCCTGTTATTTTTTGAGTTTCAAACAACCCCTGAGTTGGTTTGATTATTCTTTTGTAGGCATACAGGTTCCATTTCGCCCCCAAGGGAAACTAACCATAATAAGATAGCACCAGTCTCATCACCAAGTGCATATATTGCCAATTCTAGTGAGCTTCATTGTGCTGATTCACATTCCTTGGGAGATCAGAAAGTAGCTGGAATGCCTCTACAGAACATAATAATGGAGGATAATAACCTGAACTCTACTAATGTAAATTCCATCACCAAAGAAGATATGTCTGGTAGAAGGAAATCTAGAGAGCAGAGATACTGCTGCTGTACTTTACTTTCTATAAAGCAGATTTCAACTTAAGAGATTAGAAATTCTGTTTTTTTAATAACAATAAAATCTTTCATGGGCAAAATGCATGTAAGATGTATCTATTCTGAGCGTTGTAGGAATGTGGCAGGCAGGTCCTAGACAGAAACCCTGGAACCTGTGAGCAGGCTGTCCAATACGGAGAATCCTTCGGCCCTTGACTTTGTCGGAGCCTTATGTAATTGGTTTTGAATTGTGTGATACTATTGATGAAGTTAAAGCCTCTATGTATACTAGTCACAGACTAAATATGGGCCTAATATACGGGAGTAGAATATTGCTAATAGATATACTATTGAAATTGAATATGGCACACACTCATGGAAGTACATACAAGAACCAATGCACAGATTACAACAACATTGATCATAAGATTCATTACTAAAATATCATATCGATAATGTCCTCATCCTTTTAAGATCCGACTTTTTCATTAACACGCGTTTTGCCAAACTTTGTTTCCCTTCCCTGTTGAGACCATAAAAAACTGTTTTAAAGTTTACTGCACTAGGAGCAATCCCGGTGTTCATCATTTCAGTAATTAGCTGAAAGGCTTCGTCAGACTTACCTACTCTACAGAGACAAGATAAGAAGATTGAATATGTCTTAAAATCAGGAAACGGGCCGTTCTGTTTTATATGCTGAAAAACACTCCAAGCATCAGCAACCTTCCCCAAGTTTGTGTAGCCGCGTAAGAGTGCAGAGTAAGTGACAAGTGTTGGTTCACAACCAGACTCTTTCATCTCCTCAAGACACCCCAACACCTTTTCTATTTGTTTCTCCTTGAAGTAGTAGACTATCAAAGATGTATATGTATGTACAGTGGGGTGGACGCCAATCTGTTTCATAGATTCAATTTTTGCGAATGCTGCTTTTATAGATCCCCTTTGCAGTAATCCATGAATTAGACTCCCATATGTGTACTTGGCCAGAGTTTGCTGCTCATCATCATCATCAACTTCAGAAATCAATTCAAAAGCCTCTTGTAACCTTCCAACCCGACAAAGGGACCGAATATACAAAGAATAACTCAAAGGAACAGTGAAACCAGTTTTTTGTAAAGATTCAACACAGCTTCTGGCATCATTTGATTTTCCAACTTCACATAAACAACCTAAGTAGGCTTCAGCTAGCTCTTTATCAGGGATGCAACCCCTTTCAATCATCTCATTGAATAAGTTTACTGCTTCATTGACGTTCCTACCCTTCTTTTCACACAGGCATAGAATCAAAAACTTAAATGTACTTTCGGTAGGGTTATAGCCTCTCTCTTTCATGTCTCGAAAAGTTTGGAGAGCAATGTGGGTGAGGCCTGTTCGTCCATATTGCATTATCATGATCGTCCATGTATCACATGTTATCGAGCACCCTTTTCTCCTCATTTCATAAAATAAGCTTCTCATCTGTTTAAAGTCCTTCCCCTGTCCTGCGATCTTAATGGCCATGTTGTAGGACCCTGTTGTGTGTCTGTAACCAGTACGGTTCCCAACCCATGAGAAGAACTGTAAAGCCATACCAGCATGCAGTTTGGAGTTATGCAGAATTTCAGTAACAACTTCTGGTGTAAACTGTATACTGCACTTTTCCAGTTGCTCTTTTATGAACCACCAATCCATGGAAGATGACAATATTCGACTGATCCAGCAAGCATCATAGTGATGATCTGAAGACTCGCCCTCTGGTTTTGCTGCATTCGGTTCGGCATTCCCTTCAAGATGGATTTCACGGTTTCCATTAAGCTTATTCTTTTCTCCTTTCATCTTCAAATGAGATATGACATGTTGAATAACATCATCTCCAGGTTTGAGTTTTGAAGCTTCTTCTAATTCCTTCAAGAGTTTCAGAATATCACCATTGGTGCCAGAAACTTTGATAAGCTCCTTGACTAAAATGCCATAAAATTTCTTGCTGGGTTTAACGCCTTTATCCTTCATCTCCTTGAATGCTCCAAACGCTTCAGATATGCAGTTTTGACGTATGTACCCTGTAATGACTGCAGTCATAGCTACACAATCTAAACCAATCCCTCTATCCATCATCTCTTGATACAGTTCCACAGCTTTCTGAGATTCATTCACCCTGAAAAAGTGCTTAATCAAAGTAGTATAGGTAGCAAGTGAGGGCAGATGTCCCAAATCTTTAATCTTTCGCACCAGATCAAGTGCTTTTGGAAATTCATTTCTCCTCAAGTATTCATGAAGTACGATATCGTAAAGATTCCTATTTCCTGCATTTCTTTTCTTTGTAATATCAACAATCTCCAGTGCGTCATTAATCCTGCCTACCTTGCAAAGCCCTTTCACTAATGTCCCAAAATCTTCAGACTCAAGGTTTACATTCTTATTCATCATTTCACGAATCAATTCTAGAGCTTCTCTTATCCTACCTGAAACACAGAGGTTCTTTAGCATCAAACCATAGACTCCATGTTCTGATACTTCTAAAGTTCTAATCATATCATTAATGATCTTGTGAGCTTCAACAATATCTCCAAAAGCTGCCAGGCATTTTAGTAAATTTTTATACGAGCGCTCATCCAAGAACATGCCTTCATGTTTCATTTCCTTGTAGAACTCAAATGCAATGTCTGCCTTTCCAGCGTTGCATAGGGCATTGAGCATGACTTTATAAGACAGTAGATCTGGTTTCGGGCCATGTTTCTTCATTCTTTCAAAGATTGAAAGGGCTTTGCCAATTGATTTTGTGTTCCCACAATGGGAAATAACAATGCTCCATGTCTTAATATTTTTCTCACATGAGTTCTTTACCATATCCTCCAAAAGTGCATCAACCAGACCAGAATCCTTTGCCTCTGCCGCCATGTAGATCATCACATTGTAAGTCAGGGTGTTGTGACGAAACGCTTTTACTGATCTCACCCAGTTGAAGAACCTGAAAGCTAAATAAGGAACCTTGAAACACCTCTTCAGAACCTTCTCAACTATCTCCTCGTTATACTCTAAACATGCATTCTTCAACCGCTCTTCCATTGACACAGCTACATTTTCATCCCTAACTATTGCAGTAATTTTATGAACAATAGAGCTAATATCTGACTCACTCAAGGTCCCCGTTAGCTTATTGTTTGAGGAGAGTAATATTTCCTTTTCGTTGGCATTTTCACAAGCATCGAGTGTGCAAGGCGTTTTTCCTACAGCGTTAGCTACAATCTCTGGATGAGTACTTCCAGGTAATGCAGACTCAGATTGTTTTTCGGAACCTAAAATGTCACAGATTTCGTTGAAGAGTGAGTTAAGATTCTGAGCTTCACCCACTCTGGTTTTCTTGGTTTTATGCACCTTACATTGCTTGGTGGCGGAGGAAGTTGAAACTTGTAACTTTGTATGAAATTTGGACATATTATTAGTGCTGGAAGTCATAGTTGAGAGCACAACCTTAGACAATAACCTGGAAAAAAACATATTTTGTGCACTGGAATTAAAAGAATTGTAGTGGTGCCGGCTTCACATTCAGAATACAGATTGGAAGAAACTCCGTCCAAAGATATTCTGCAGAATATAATTTTAATTTTGTAAATCTTGCACAGAAAAATAGCAATTTTAGTACCTGGCTCTTTATCGGTCCGTGGACTACAGATGTTTTTAGTTTTTAGTTTTTTTACTTGTTCATTTTCTGTCGCACGCCAAATCAATTGGATTTGAAGTTCATATCAGAACAGATTAGAGTTAAACACAATTAAATACAGATCATAATTAAGATATTTTCATAGTTAATTAGAGTTAATTAAACTTTCATAGTTATAATACACAAATAAGATATTTTCTATACCAGATCTGTTCAAATCAGATCATAATTAAATAGACTAGTCCAGACCAGCAAATTTCAGTCCAATTAGAAACATCCTAGTTGATCGTTTTCAGATTCTAGGTAAATAATTATCCTATTTGATAGGGGTGGGCGCGGTCCGGAACGGTCCGGTAAACTAGTAAAACCTGTAATGTATCCGTTAGGTTTGTAACGGTCCGGTACGGTCCGGTTTCAAGGATGGAAGGTTGGAACCGTTCGGTACCATGCCGTTTCGGAACGGTACGGTACAATGCCAAACACATGCTAATTTTTTTTAACAAATCTTGCAATTGGTAGATATCTTCACACCAACCAACTCACATGAAATGTCAATATAAATACAAGAAATTGCATATGTAGTACTAAAGTTCACAAATACACAACTAAAAAAATTATAGCAAAATGATGGCGCACGAGATAAATATCATCTTTAATTTATTTACTAAGTTCATGTGAAAATATAAAAAAGAATATAATCAAATTGTTGAATATAATTGAAATCTTCAATGTTCTTTTTCTTCGTTCTAGGTTAAATATTTTTCTGTAGTTCTAATTTAATTTATAGTTAAAACTTGAGAGCTAAGATATAAATCATATTAATTAAATTGTAAAATTGTGCAAACATGATTTATACTACAAAAAGTCATGTACATAACATTACTAGCATACCATTACTACAAATGAATAGTCCTTAATGATTTCTAAAATGTTAATATTTTTTCAATATATATCAAAATATAACATAAATTATCTAAAAATAAAAATAACAATATATAATATAAACACACATATTTAGCTAGTTTAGGAACGCATGAATACATACTTGGGCTATAAAATTATTTATCTATAAAAGAGATTTATTGGTTTAGAAAAATTATAAGAAATTCAAATGCATTATTTTCGAACGGTTCGGTCCAGTTTTTTTCTGTTCTCAAAATCTAGGACCGGTCCCGTACCCGTTTTAAACGGTTCGGTTTCGGTACAGGACAAAAATCTATAGAACCGTTTAAATATCCGGTATTTGGTTCGGTACCATTACGGGACGGCTCGGTACCGGTTCGGTTCGGGTTTTATGCCCACCCCTATTATTTGACATTAGAATCTGGGCAGCGTATAGTAGAAGACGAAAGAATAAATCAACGAAAATCTTTGGAGAAAGGAAGAAAAAATTATAAAGAATTGATCTAAGTAAAGAGTTAATGTCCACATGAATCCACAATTTTATACTTCAGTAAAAATGAAAGGAAATTTGAAAACATTTAAACTTTTAAAATTTGTCATTAATCTCAGATAAAATGCAGAAATTATCTTAAATATGAGTAAACATAAATATAATTGCACAAATAAGACTCAAAGTTTTTTAATCTCTAAATAGAACTAAACAATGCCTTTCTACCCATAGTATAATTAATTATATAATTAATTGATCATATTCTCTGGCATAACCAAGACCAGTCTGTTGGTGGCGGATGACGGAAGACACACAGTGGTAGACCACAATGGGATCTTGCCAGATCGATGGCAGCGATCTGGGAGAAATTCAGGGGACTAACGACATGTGGCAAGTAACGGACTAGTAGTAGACTTGTAGGGGTATTTTGTCCAAATGCACATAAAAAAGATAAAATAAAAAGAGATGAATACACATAAAAACGATAAATAAAAAGGATAAAAATAATATTTATACATATAAGGATAAAAATATAAAAAAAACAAGAAAAAAGATGAGAGGAAAAGATGTTACGAGATCACCCTCCACACGAATATCCGCCGTCCACTTTGTTCTCTGCAATATCATACCCTCATCCAACCGAAGAAGAAGCATATTACTTCTGACTCCCCTAACCCACGTTTGTTTGGACTTTCCTGTTCCTCTCTTGTGTGTCTCTTTTCCACCCATCTCAACTAGTTTGAGAGGTGTTTTATTCAAAAACAAAACAAACCCTTATCCTTATTTTCACTTATTTGTGAAAATTTGAAGTACTTTTTCAATTCCCATTTCACATCCCAAACGCATACCTAGATTATAACCTTTGAGTTTTCTACAAGACTCCAGAGAAATGCGGAGTGTATATATATCCGGTAGTTTTCATGAATAGGCCAACAACAGGCAATAGATATGGGTTGGGTTTGGCAAGACGATGAGGACGATTCTCACAGCTCACGTGACGTCTCCGGCTATGATATCTACAACGATTCCGTTAACCCTAGCGGGTCAAACGCGAGAGACGGCGGTAAATGCGCCACCCGGAAAGTCGTAAGGACGCAGTGCCGAACAGAGGAGTCCGAACCTGGTAAGTTCATCCGGAAGTGCGAGAAGACAGAGCAGATATTCAAGGACTGCGTTGGAAGGTGAGAAACCTACATACTCTGTATGACGAAAAAAAGAACGGAAGTTTCTCTATCCTTCTTGTTTATATTTGTCGAAAATTGAATTCACTAGGATCAAATCGAAACTCTGGTTATTTTGGTTATTTTAGATTTCTGGTGATTATTTTTATGATTTCTGTGAGAGCTAATTTGATTTGTACTCTTTGTGCATTGTCTGCTAGAAGATACACATACCAGAAACAAGCACTGCATCTCTAAGAAATACAATAACCGTTGAAGGATCTTCATGTATATATAGGTACAATTAGGTCAGTGAAACACGGAATCTCTAAGAATTACATTTCGGCTTGAGTAGCCATCTCTAATAGATTTATGGAATCTAAGAGGTACACGGATAGCTGGATACTTGGCAGGACATGTGAATTGTGATATGATGTAAATAGCCGCTCATTAAGGAGCTTATTGGTTGGTCTCCTTATGTCATATCTAAGTGGAAAATATAATACCAAAAATGATGTTTGTACTTTGTCTTTGTACACACTCTTATATCCACTTTTGTGTCCATCTATGTTTGTGAAGTGTTTTTGTTTTGTTTGTGAACCCGATTCAAACAAAATATTGTCTTTGAACTGGGTTCCCAGACAAAAAAAGCACTTCACAAACATGGTGGGTATAAGATGAGTATAAGAATGGGTACATCAAGCATTGTTGATATAATACGGAGTAACACATTAAGAGCTCGTATGGTAAATCGGCTAAAGTGGTTGTCTATGTTCAAAGGTTTGGCTGAAGTGGTTGGATTGGCTGATTCTGTTGAATTATTAAAATATTATAATGAGTACTACATATTTTAGATGTATTTTATTAATAAAATAAAGAAAACTTTATCTAATAAATAGTTAAAGTTTTCCTCTATAGTAACTTCATCCAATCTAGCCATAAAAGTAACTTCAACCTTAATTATTTTGATTATTAAACAACTCAGAGCGTGAAATAAAAAGTTATGTGTTTTGTGAAAAAGTTGACTCATAAGGCCGGCAAACCAAAAAACAGGATCACCAAACGGCTGTAGACCTTGGGTTGAATTTTGATAACATTTGGAAAGACATGGCTGGATGCAGGGACTGTATAGTAGTACGGGTTTAGATATTGATGATTGATAGGCTGAAGATAGCTTCATCTTGCAACTTGCTCAATGCCCTAAGCGAAGCAACTCAAGCAAGTAAGCAACCTGCTGAGTGGGCTTATAGTATAATATGATGTACTTTGTTGGTAGCTTGAAGCAACATAATGGGGCTACTTAAGCAGTTAAGCTGTTGGTGTGGAGGATAACAAGAATCAGAGACCTTGTACAGTAATGAACATGTAGGCATTGTTGTGGGAAGTCTCAATTTATTATTCCCATTTGACAAATGTATATTTGGTATAGGCAGCATAAAAATCTTTTAGGTATTTTAGGTATTTAGTAGTTTGAGGTTCCCGTGTATACCTAAGCAAATTGCCGAATTGTATGAGATGTTTCTATAGGAACTGCATCTAGTGGTTGTAACTCATACTTCTCTGTCCAAGAAATAAATCCCTTGATTGGAACAATTCTGTTGCCCCAAAAATGGAATATGTTGTACGTCAGTAATTTGTTTAAGCATAACCTTTGTAGAGAACTAGATTCCATAGGATATGCTCTTGATGTTACCCCTGAACTTTACAGTTGAGACTATTGTGGAGGCAGGGGTTTCTAGGTTACTCCCCCTGTTCCAATCTGTTCTTCCTGTCTACTTCCTGCACTGTTTTTATGTAATGAAATTGTGCTATTGGGATTTTCTTAGCAAGGAGAGAATTGATGTGAACCACACAACTCTTTCCTTAAAAGATTATAAGGAAAGTGAGAAAAATATATTGAGAAGATGGGAGTATAATATTTTGAGAATTCAACAAAATCTTACAAATCTGAAACATTTGAAGGTACACAAGTTTATTTTTCCCATGTGAAGTAAAATCAGGTGGAGTAACATGTGCTTATACCACTGATTCACCTGCTTATATTAAGCGCTGTTTACTAACACATGTCTTCATAAACACCGTTTAGTAACATGCGAAGTAAACATGTCCTTAATTACCTTTGTTAAGCTTTTTCACTTTTGGTTTTTGGTACAGGCCTTCTGAGATGGTGCAATCAAACAAAGAATACACAGAGGAAGACGTGACAAGCCATATGACTAAAAGTTTCCCTTTGGATTCATCACAGCAAGGGCCTTTTCTTCCCGGACTGCGTGGTGACATTGAAGCCATGGAACACAACTTCTTCAGTGGTCTTGATCGTTTCTTTGATGCAGCGGAGCAGACAATGAATGGATTCTTTAGTTCATTTGGACTCCCCCGTGCTTATGAAGACAATGACAGTACTAATACTAAATCATTCCCAGCCTGGGGTCGTCGACGTATACCACTCGAGGAAGGCAACCCCTCAAAGGAATCTTCTACTGGAGTGAGTACTTCCAATGGAGACATTGATTTTTCTGGATTGACTAAAGATGTTTAAAGAAGGGTTTGTCGGTGTGATTAAAGAGCTGTTACTAGTTTGATTGACAGTTGATGGTGAATATGAGCTCTATATACCATATAAATATTAAATAATTTGGACCATAAATTTAAACTATGTAACTTTGGGGGTCGAGCGTTTCTTGGTAATGCACAATGCATTTTGTCAATCTGACATCTTTAAATAAGAAATGGGACTTTTTTTTAGAGGAACCTCATATTAATTCATTTTCAATTTTTCATTTCAATTTCTACAAGTGTAAATCCCATCTGGTACCCTATCTGTAGTGCATATACACCCGTTGCATATTCTGCCATTTCCGCCTCCTAGTTCACATCACTCTTTTGACTCTTGCCATCACTAGGGTGCCATGTTCATCTCGGATTATTGCTCCAAGACCAACACGTCCTCCTTTGAACACAGCTGCATCACAGTTCACTTTCATGAAACTAGAAGATGATTTACTCCGCTTTTCGGCGCTACTACTCAAGTATGATTCTGGCCCTTCATAAATTTTTAAAGCATATTTTTGAAAATCTTTAACATATTGATCAAATCCCATCCGGATCAACCTCACTTGTGATTCTTTTTGCTCAAAAACCATCTTGTTTCGACAGAGTCACGCTACCCAATGATTAGTTGTGAAGCTATAAATCTCTTGATTCAAATTCTTCATAGCCCACTATAATAGTTCAATGGCGGACATATTTGGCGCCTCCATGAACATATTTCCCCAGATTTCATTCTTCCAAAGTTGCGAAGAGAATTTACGAAAAAACAACTTATGACTTATTTCCTCATTAATACCTGCACACACGGGGCATGTTGGGTCATCAGTGGGGTTCCTCTTCCATAAGCTCTCCTTCATTGTTACAATGCTGAAATGAGTCGCCACAAGAAGTGCTTCAACTTTGGGAGATGTTGAGGTCCCAAATGTGCTTACAGAATGACCTTCTCAACTCTCTTTTCATTCCAATAGGTCCACGAACTTCTAACCAGTATGTTGTCCTTACTGTGAAAATCCCATTTTTAGTCGGCCACCAGTAGCGAGAGTCTTGAGGGCACCTTAAACTTAGTGGAATACAACTTATCTTCTTTGCCTCAATTAAAAAAAAAAACAGTTTGTTAGCATTGCTTCTTTCCACATCTTCTTCTCAAACTCGATAATATTACTTATCCGTAAATCTGCATTCACGCTCAGGTTCAGATTAGGCCGTCTAAGAGATGGATCTCCGGGTACCAAATTGTCCTCACACACTTTGATACTTGACCCGTTGCCCATTCGCCACATTAAGCCCTCTATTAGTAAAGACTTCGACCCTATATGCTTCTCCATATATAACTAGGGTCGTAACCCCTTGCTGCATCGAAAAAATTAGAACTTTTGAAATATTTATGTTTGAAGTCGCCAACCTTGCTTAGCTAACAATGCTTGATTGAAAACTCTTAGATCTCTAAATCTCATTCCACCTTCACTCTTGATCTTGCTTAATTTTTCCCAAGACACCAAGTACACTTTTATATGGTCCTCACATGATAAATATTCCCAAATATTTATCATGTTTCTCCACTTCATCTACCTAGAGCAAATTCATAATGCCAAGCTTTTTATCAGGAGACACATTCTTGCTAAAAGATATTTGAGATTTGTTTAGATTGATTTTCTGCCCGGAAGCTTTCTCATATTTTTTAATTATATCAGCAACAATTGAAGCCTCGTGGGGATTTGCCCCAGCAAACAAGATACTATCATCTGCAGAAAAAGGCGGGGTATTCGAGAGGCTCCCCGACACACTCGAACTCCATGTAAACGCCCCTCATTAGCCACCTTAGTTAGGAGTTTTGAAAAAGCTTTAGCACAAATGAGGAATAAATAAGGAGATATGGGATCACCTAGGCATAAATCCCTGGATGGACGCACACTGCCTTGCACCTTTCCATTAATTACAAACGAATAGCTTACAATAGCCATACACTGCATAATCTTCTCCACCCATAGATTGTCAAATCCCATCTGAACCATGGCCTGTTGGATAAATCTCCACTCTATTCTGTCGTATGTCTTGCTCATGTCAAGCTTTAACGCGAAAGAGCCTACCTTTCCTTCACTTTTTCTCTTCATGGCATGAAACACCTCAAAAGCAAACAAGGCATTATCAGTAATATATCTACCGGGAACAAAAGCACTATGATTTTATGATATTATTTTAGGGTGTAGAACTTTCAGACGGTTAGCCATCATTTTTTAGATAACCTTATATACTACATTACACAAACTAATGAGTTTGTAATTAGAAATTTGTTTTGGCCTTTGGCATTTGGGAATTAATACAATATTAGTATAATTGATTTCCCTTATGTCAAAATATCTTATCTACCACAGATCTACCATCTTTATTATATCACTCCCTACAATGTGCCAGATTTTTGGAAAAACATTGCATGCATACCATCTTGTCCTGGGGCTTTTTTATGATGCATTTAAAAAGGGGCTACCTTGATATTCTCCACTGATGGTGCTCTAAGTAATTTCTCATTCTCTTTTGGGGTAACTACTCGAGTAATGCCAGTCAGTGCCACCTAGTGCCACCCCAGTCTCTATGCCCCCTGGTCTTGAATAAATCCTCATAGAAATCAACAATGATACTCTTTATATCTTCCTCCTTTTCCCGCCAAATAAAAAATGGAACTAGTCTTGAATTTGTAGGTAAATTCAATTCCTTGAGGCCCCACCCTTTATTAGATTATATTAAACACCTGACCGGGAAGGCAAGGTTGACTCACAAACGGGTGACCCCCCAGCTAAAACCAATTCAATTAAAGTTGTTAGTCATTAATTAAATCCCTATCTTTTATAATTTTATATTAGTAAAAGCATTCTAACTTCTTGCTATATGGTTTTCACAGTAATCTAAGAGCATCTCCAATGCTACAATGTGCACGGTGCACATGTGGCATGAGAGAGATAGACACAAAAAAATGAATTTATGACATTTCTCTCTCATTCTTTCCATGGTTTTATGTGTTTTTGGTAAGTTTTCCTCTGCAATGTCAAGCACAATGTCTACATGTAGACATTGTGCTTGACATTGTGAAGAAATACTTACCAAAATGATACAAGATCCTTTAAATAAGGAGATAGATATTCTATTTATTATTTTTTCATTGACTATCTCTGATGCCATGTATGCCATGATGCCATGGCTATCTCTGATCTTTAATATTTGGGAATAAATGTTTTTTTAAAAGGAAAAAATCCTTCTTAGAGCATTTTCACTGCAACAATGTGCACAGTACACATGTGTCATGAGATAGATAGACACACAAAAAAACAAATCATTCACATTTGTTAAATTTCTCTTTCTTTCCACGATTTTATATAATTTTGGTAACTTTTTCATAACAATGTCCGCATCTAGACACTGTTCTTGATATTGCGAATTTTTTTAACCAAAAACATAAGACATTTCATTAATGTTTATGTGTATATCTCTATCATCTCACATGTGCACCATGTACATTATGACATTGGAGATGCACTTATTAACCAAGAATACCACTTAATTGTCATGTGATTAGTAGGCGATTGTCCCTTATGCATGTTGGGGGATAAGACGTCTATACATTTGTTTTTTAAGTGTAATAAACTGTCAGGTAGTTCACGGTGTGTGGGAGGAAGTGGTTTTTTATTTATTTAGTGGATGTGGACTCGTTATTGGTTAGTTTATAGAGCGCTTTTAGTTCTTTGGATGAGGAAGCCTTATCCGTTTTATTGCGCTCCTTTGGAGCATCTTTAAATTGAGAAATGGGATTGTCTGGAGAGAACCATGCTCTATTGCAGGTGTTTAAAGGGCTGCTACTTGCCTACTAGTATGCTGGCAGCGGGAGAGATGCGTAGGAGAAGAGTTCCAAGTCGGGCGCAACAAAAGGGGACAAAGGATCATCGAGGTGGCAGAAACCCATTGTAGACTAGATAAAAATAATTGTGAATGCGGCCAATAAATTTCAGTATGAAAAATGGGCATGTGGTGGATAGGACGTGATCGTGACAGGCGATTTATCGAAGCACGATGTCGGAATGTTAAGGTCGTGTGGTCGCTTGGTCAGTGGTGGAAGCAGGGAAGGTATTGTTTGAGAAAAGGAGAATAGGTGGATGTGTGGAACAATGTTGAAATTGAAATGGATGCGCCTTTGGTCTTAACTGGTATGCATGGGGTGAAGTACGATTCACAAGTGGGAGTAATTCTTTAGGATAATAAAGTTTACTGGAAGACGGGATTAATTTTTCAGTTCAATGGTGCAGAAGATCAACCAATCAAGTGGCCCATGTTCTTGAAAAGGCGTCTATTTCTGTTACTGTTTGCGATGTCATTTTATTGGGAAAACGAAAAATTCTCGAAATATGAGTAAAATCATTTTGGAATTCTAAAATAGGCTCATCATATTTTTATGATAGAATAATTATCATGTTTTAGTATTTGTAATTGGAAGGATAAGATTTTATACAAATCCGCCTCATCACTCGCCTCTAAGGCTCAAAACGTCCCATTTGCTTTCCCCGATTAACTATTAAATTTTGGGAAAGTTCACACAAGTGTCATGTGGCTGTTAAAAAGAAAAGATAACACTACATACTTGAGGGTCCCCAAAATCGGCGGCCGGACAATTATTTGGAAAGATGTAAATTAAACTTAATTTGGAATTGAACCTGAGACCTCTCCTGTGTAGCACCCTCTTCACTGGCTGAGCTATGCCCTGCATGTGGTTGGTTTCAAACATTAGGGGATAGTGGTTTGTTTTCAGTTGATTCGTGGTATTGCGTTGTTGGCACATGAGGGAGTCTATGTATTAACGATGTTAAATCAGCTGATGTGGTACGTATTTGTTCTTTATTGATAGATCCTTCTCTAACATTTTGGGTCCTTCATTGCAACATTGGTACACACAACTGTGGTATCACCTAGTTAACACACATCTCTGCTATACTTTTTTCTTAAAACATTAATATTTTTTAGGATTAATTAATTTTAACTAATTTTTGAAAAACTAAAATTAAAATTTTGATTAATGCCAGCTCTTGTAGGCCATTAGTTTTTATTAATTTTATTTTTGTCTTTAAGTCTTGCATCACATAATCCAGACATGATGCCTATAGTTTTTCCAAATGTTTACATTTGTCACAAAATATCTTTCAGTAATTAGTACTCTGTAACTCTTATAATT